TGACGCCTGTGCGCAGCTCGGGGGTCTGGCAGCAGCTAAGTGGGACATGGCAGTGCGCTGTAGTGGGGTCACGGCTGGGTTAGGCTCTGGTGTGCAGCTGTGGGGGCCCCTGGGCACAGCATCTCCCCTGCGCACGGTCAGGGTCACAGGCACAGCCAGATGGTGGCCCAGCCACAGTAAGCAGAGGGGTCCCCCAGGCACAGCTTTTGGGGAACCCCTTGGGAATGGGGCAAGGGGCAGGCACAGCTGGATGAGGGCCCTGAGCGCAGCTCCATGCAGGCCTGCGCCCTCCTTGCTGGAAACGGTCAAAACTGCCTGTGCGCTATTTCCAGCTCAACATTAACCTCTGTGCTACTTCCCGCTTGGGGCTATTTCCAGTTTAAGGCTATTCTGGGCAACTTTAGAAATTCATAGGCTGCATCTGGCTGCCGAGCAGCCATTCCCAGCCTGCCCCGACGGGGGTGCTGCCCCTCATGCAGCCTGGTTTTTGCTCCCAGAAAGCGCAGCGGGTTTTGGCCTCAGCAGGGGCCCTCAGCCCGCGAGCCCCTGCACCCTCTGCAATCAGCACAAAGCGCTGCCGGAGCTGCGCTGGGCTTCCTGCGCTCATGGGGACAGGCACAGGCTCCGCCGAAGAAAAGGGAGCTGAAACTCAGAGCCCTGCACCTAAAGAAACACCCCAGCCCTTAACTGTGTGGTCTGTTATACGTGATTTTTGCCTGCAAAATAACACTTTGTGTTTTGCTTAAACAAAACCATTCCTTTGTGCCAGGCAAGGAGGTACCAGCCTCCGTCTGCCACTTTTCTGGCTGTCTCTGTACGTGCAATACGGACACTTCACGCTGCCAGATGCCAGCACACTGCGGCAGCAGGGAAGGCATGTCCAAGTTATGTCTGTTCACCAGGGAACCGCTTGTGACTGCCGCATGTCCTGGAGGCTGCACATTACTGCTCTGCCCGCAACTCTGCGAGGGGCTTTCTGGGCTGCTCAATGCCCTTTAGAAGCAACATCTGTTCATAAAATATTTGCTAGGTGCAAAGGCTGCCCTTACACTGTCGGTGCTGCTGGCACGACAACCTTGCCACACTGGCAGCTGGTGACATGGGGAGGGTGACTTGTCACTGCATCACCCCATGCTGCAGCAGCCCTGGACAAGCCAGAGAAGCCAGCCCAGACAAGCAGGGTCGGGGGTGGATGTGGTTAGGGCACAGCTTTGTCCCAAGCCTCTTGTTTCCTTAAGAAGCAACAACATATTTTTTTCCCAAAACACTGCCAGGCCCCCCGGCCCTCAGCAAGCACTCACAGCTGAAACTGGCTGAGAAATCTTCCATTTAATCAGTGTTTTACATAAAACTGTACATCCCCCACCCTCCTGGGTGTGTAGGAAGCCTGAGACTGTCTGGAGAGGATTACGTACAAAAATACCATGTACAGCGAAAGGTGGTAGGAGGGAGACAGGGAGAGTGGGGGGACGAGCCCGCGGCCCAACGCCCTCTCCGCCTCCACAATGTGGCTTTGCTTTCCGCGAAACCTGGAGCTGCCAGAGCAGTTCCCCTGCCCCGGGGTGTTCCTGGGGGGAAGCCCAGGGACATCTTGGGGAGGAAAGAAAAAAACAAAAAGAGAAGAAAAAACAAACAAACAACAACCTCCAAGTTAAAAATCCCACCTAAACGAACCCAAACTGCACCTTAGAGACGAACCATTGAATCCTGGCTGCCCTGGGGGGCTGCAGGGCAGCTCTTGGCACAGCTTGGCCCTTCGTGGCTGGCCCTGGAGAGCCCCTCGCTGTTCCTTGCGGGCAGACCCGGAGAGCCCCTCGTGGTCCGTCGCAGACCGCCGGGAGCAGAGGGTCTCTCACACCAGCTCGTCCAGGAGGGTCCCGCCGCCCCCCCGGGGCCC